GTTGAAAGTAAAAATGTCACCTATGGCCCCACCTCTCACCAGGGAGGGCCTGAGATTTGTCACTGTTGAAAGTAAAAATGTCACCTATGGCCCCATCTATCAGGAAAACTGCGTCATCTTTACATGTGCAACCGCTTTTAAGACATTCCTAGTTGTCAGTTAATGGAGAAGTTGAATCCCGTTACTATTCATCTTTTTGCTGAAATACTTTCAACAGCCAATTCACCCTCAACTCATTCTTTGTTGTGGGTCTTGAAAATGCCTTAACTGACAGGCTTGAAAAACCCACACAGACTATTAGCGATTGCACTGAAACCCACAACCTCCTGTTCTGACCCCTCCATCACCCTCGCCGTGCTCCCAGATCTGTGTTCTATGGAATCCCTAGCCCTCCTTGTTCTCAATCTTGGTGCTCAGAGTTCCACCTGGTCAAGTCAAAGGGGACTTCTCACCAGGTCAAAAGTCCTGGCATGAGGAACACTGGAAAGTAGGATCTTTTGAAAGCAGCAGCAGACATGATGACCAGATAAGCAAGATGGCCCACACAGATGAGCAGTGACTTAGGTAAGAAGAGAAAGCGATAGCAAGGTCTGAGTAGCAGGAACTATGGAGCCCCCCCACAATAGCCCCTGGTCACTCCAGCCTCGCCTGACCAGACGGTGATGCGTCCCCATGGAGAATCCCCACGCATGGACATTCCTTGTCGGACCTGCTCATCTTCTCTGAGCCCAAAGAACAGGGCCCTGCCGTTAGGTGTAAACTTCTTGACTGTTTCCTGCATTCCTCGCCACTCCCAACATTGCCATCTTAAGCGGTGATAATAACAACTTCAGCTTGGCAGATAAATGAAGTACACTGCTGAGGGGAGCAGTGGGCTGGTCAGGAGAGGTCTGCCATGCCATGTGGATCAGGTCCCTTGCGGGGTATCGAACTCGTGCTGCAGTGGCTTTGGAGAATTTCCTAATGCGGTGCTTTAACCCATTGCCACCAGGGAGAGCCCTCAAGAAATTATTTTTAAGACATGTTGAATATTTTCTATCAACATATATTTTAAAAACACTGAATCCTTAGGAATTACTTCAAAGGTGAAAGCATATATATGAAGTTTTAGAAAATAGAACAAAATGATAATACATATAGATGTGTATGTAGGTGTACACGTTAGCTCAGCTTCTTGGCCGGGAATCAAACTTGTGCTTTAGTGTCTACGGATTACTTCTGGGTGCTACGCTTTCACCCACTGTGCCATCAGGGAGGGTGTTTGTTCTTTACTGACTTATTTCACAGAGCAGAATCACTGCCCGCTCCATCCCTGTAGCTTCAAATGACATGAGTTTATCATTTTAATGGCTTAGTTATATTCCACTGTATTTATACACAACATTTGCTTGAGCCTGTCATCGGTGTGGGAGACTTTTAAGTTGTTTCCATACTTAGTTATTGTAAGTAGTGCTAGTGACATTGTAAATATAAACATAGGGGTACATGTTTCTTTTCAATTAGTGTTTTTGTGCCCTTTGGGTAGGTTCTTAGGAGTAGAGTCCCTGGGTCGTGTGGTAGCTCCGTTTCCAGTGTTTTGAGGAACCTCCTCAGAGCTCCCACCGCGGCTGTACCAGCTTGCATCCCCCAGCAGGGTAAGAGGAAGAAACCAACACCTTGAATACCGTTGCGGAAAAAAAAGCGCTGTGTTGACAGTGCAACATTTTGCATTGCAGCTTCTAGGGAAGCATTTTTTGTTTGTGCTTTTCTACCTGTCGTTTAAATAGTCTGTTTTCCCTTTTTCCGTAGAACTTTCTGTTACTTGACGAGGTATCGGGACGCCGCCCCCAGCCACCACCAGATGGTAAAACGCTAGTGCATGTGCAAGATTTTACTGCTTTTTGGGATAAGGTAACAAATCCTCCCTTGCAGACCATGAGTGCTCAGTGGCCCAGCCGACATAGCTTTAGTAGAGAAGTTGGTGGTGTAAAGTGTGAGCAGCTCGCTTATGGGGGTGCATGTTGAGACAGCTGTGCCAGGAGTGGGGTTTGCTGGGGGGCGGGGCTGATGAAGGTCAGCTGTTTATCTCACATCAGAGCCGTCACAGCTCAGCTCCTAGGAGCACACTGGAGCCAGTTCTGTGCTGCAGACTTTATAGGGCGAGACAGGGAGGCCTGTGTGTGGGATCAGTGAATACACCTATTACATATCATAGCAGATGCCAGCCTTTGGGGAAGCAGCCTGTTTATTCATGTGGATGGCTTAGACACATCAGGGGAAGCCTGTGATTTGGGTCTTCGCGGTGGTTTGGGCTGGGGTTCCCGCTGCCTCAGTTTATGCCTGGCTACTTGTAGCACTTCTCAGCTGAAAGATTTTACTCTGTATTTATGACATTTCAGCAAAATGGAAACACAGTAAGGATTGCTCTCAAGAAGTTCCCAGACCACACAGCCGTTCGCTAATGTCAAAAATAAGCTGGGTTTCGGCTTTCAAGTGGGGGCTTCTTAATGTGCACTGGGAGGTGTTTTTGCCTCCAGGGCCCCCTGCTGCACCCCAGGACCTCCCCAGGGAAGGGATCCTTCAGTTGCATCTCTGTCTGGAGGGAGCAAACACCCCTCCTATCCGGATCTGTTGAATGCTGCCCCCTCCTGGTCACGCCAGTGCAGTGCCAGGTCTTGAAGCTCTTCCTTCAGAGAGGGAATCTCCAGGGCTCCCCAGTACCCAGGAAAAATGGAAGCCCTGTGAAAGGAAACTGGTGCTTGTATGGAACTCATTATTTCATCATCATAACTACAAGTGGTGAAATAGGGACTTGTCATTAAACCCGTTGAAACGAGTGGAGAAGCTTAAAAAAAAATGTTTCTTACATGTTGAACTCCAGTTATGATAGTTTTATAATTCCTAAAACTATTGTGTTGTTTTTTTTTTTTTAAGTGATTAGAACTAATGATCATTGTTTCAGTAGATGGCCAGTTATAACCAAATCTGTTTTTCCGGAGTAATTTTTCATATGGAAGATAATCCTCACCTTTAATTTCTCACTGTTATTTTCTAGGTCTTAGTTGTGCTATGGCCTGTACCACTTTACCACTTTTTTTTGGCCTTTGTGCGTTTGAAGTTTTTTTTTTTTTTTAAGATTTATTTATTTGTGCATACAGAACTGGGGTACAGGCCAGAGGCTCAGGGGCGGCGAGAGGCTTCTCAAGAGACAGAGTGGGGAGCAGAACAGGCAGATACATTCAGTACACTGCTGAGGGGAGCAGCGGGCGGGTCAGGAGAGGTCTGCCGCGCCATGTGGTCACCTCCCGGGCAGGCGGGGATCGAACTCATGCTGAAGTGACTTAAGCTTCTTAGTGCTGTGCTTTAACCCGCTGTGCCACCAGGGAGGGCCGGTTTTCATTCTTTATTGAGTGAAAAGATAGCAATTAGTGCAAGTTAAATTATTTATTAATTAAAGGGCCTGGTGTGTCATGTGCTTATGTTGCCACCTGGTGGGGGTTAATGGAATAAAAGATTAAAAACCAAGGTCCTGACGCCAACCAGCACGTGGTTAAAAGCTCCTCCACTGTATATACTATTGAGAATGTTCTTTTTGCTAAGATTGTGTGTGCCGAGGCAGCGCCTTGCCATCTCCATCTACCGTTTAGCTTCTGTGCGTGTCTAGAGCCGTGTTTGTAGTATAACGGGGTCAAAGAGTGGTCCTTCCCAACGCCCCGCCCCGGGGGTAAAACTAGGTGACCGGGACTCCAGGGTGCAGTATTGTAATGTTGGGGGACTGACTTGAAGCGATTTGTGTGCCTGTGCTGAGATGGTCACTTCAATTGCAGACATCGGAGACCCCGACCCTCCACGGCCTGTCCTTCACTGTCAGGCCCGGCGAGCTGCTGGCAGTGGTTGGACCTGTGGGAGCAGGGAAGGTGAGTGACGTGTTTCATGGGCACGCTGCATATTTTGCTCAGGCTGACTAGTTTGGAACTGCAGTTGGGCCCTGGGGTCCCTGGGCCTGCCCGTTATTCAGGAGAGAGGGATGGCTGAAACTGGGACTTGTTTCTTCAGAACAGACCCTGCAGGATGTACAGACTTCTAGAAAGTGGTGACTCTTTCCTCAGAGGACTTGTCCTGGCCACGCCAGCGCATGGTTAGCAAATGCAGAGGCCTGTGCTGGACAGGCGGTGGCCAGACGTAGCGGGGCCCAGTCCAGGTTCTGCATCCTGTCGTGGATAGGACGGACACTTTTCGTCTGTACGCTGTCAAAGCTGTGCAGAAATGTCCTTTAAGCCTGTGCACTGGAGGCAGCAAGAGACAGAACAATAAGCCCTGGGTGGAAGCAAGAGGGTGACTTCTCCACGAGGGCGAACCTCCACTCTCATTTCTCCTGCTGCAGTGAGGATATTGGCAACGAGATTTTCTGGAACAAGTGAGAACTCCCTGGACTGACAGTTACGTTCAATGTCAGAGATAGGAAGTAGATACTCTGTGCCTGGAAGCAGTCTTAGCTGGTGTCTGTGGAGTGGAGCCTTTTATATATGGACATGCTGTCAGGCAGAGGAGGTTGTGAGACTCTGGTTTGTTAATATTCCTGACTGGCCACGAACCCTCCAATTAACTTTGAGCTATGGCATCGTTTTCCTTTTATTGCAACAGCCAGGGCTTGCAGATTGTGTCTGGGAGGCTCGGGTGGTGTAAGGCAAGGGGACCGGCCTGGCTGGGCAAGGTGGCTTCACAGTATCGTCCTGCTGAGCGTCCTGGCTGTGCCCACCTGGATTTCCTTCTTTGTTCCAGTCCTCTCTGCTGAGCGCTGTGCTGGGGGAGCTGCCCCCCAGCGAGGGGCTGGTCACCGTCCAGGGCAGAGTCGCCTACGTGTCCCAGCAGCCATGGGTCTTCTCAGGAACTGTGAGGAGCAATATTTTATTTGGGAAGAAATACGAAAAGGAACGATACGAGAAAGTGATCAAGGCTTGTGCGTTGAAAAAGGTGAGTGTTGACTCTGGCCCTGGGGGAGCTGGGATTTCTTCAAATGCTGTAATAGTACTGGTCAGTGATGGGTTTGTTGGAAGTTTTCTTTTTCGTTTGGAGATGTCGTTGAATATTACTGCGTAAAGCTGCTCTTCACTTATGCATCCTTGAGTTGGGGGCAGGCCAGTGGTGCGGGGTGAGAGGATTCACCAGAGACAGAGTGGGGTGCAGAACAGGCAGATGGATGGACTGCTGAGGGGAGCAGCGGGGAGACAGGAGAGGTCTCTGCACCATGTGCGTCACCTCCCTGGCTGGGGATTGAACTCCAGGGTTGTCGTTCTTCCAGGCTGAACTAGCGGCCAGAACAAACCCGCTATCTGGCCCCTGCTCAGAAGGACCTGGCAGGATGTTAACTGCAAATGCTTGAGTGTTTGTATTTTTCTTTTTAATGTTTTATTAATAATACAATAGTTTATTTTTACATCATTTTGCACTTCTTTCCATCTCAGTTGCAATCCCTGTGGGCTTCCCATCACCAAATCACCCATGCGCCATCATCATAGTCCCGTGCACTCCTCCCTACCCCCATTTTTGATCCCATTCTCCACTCCACCCATGGAAATTATTGTTATTTTTTTCCCTGGTTCTGGTTCTTTTTGCTCCTGCTATGAGTGAAACCGTCTGGTATTTTTCTTTTTCGTTCTGGCTTATTTCACTAAGCATGATCCCTCCAAGTTCCATTCATGTTGCTGCAAAGGGCATGAGTTTATCTTTTTTGATTGCTGAATAATATTCCATTGCATATAGGTATCATGTCTTTTTAATCCACTCACCCGCTTTGGGGCATTTGGGTTGACTCCATGTCTTTCCTATTGTAAATATTTTTTAAAAAGATTTGTTTATGCATACAGAACTTGGGTACAGGCCAGAGGTGCAGGGGCGGTGAGAGGTTTCACCAGAGACAGAGTGGGGAGCAGAACAGGCAGATCTATGAAGTACACTGCTGAGGGGAGCAGCAGGTGAGACAGGAGAGGTCTGCTGTGCCCTGTGGTCACCTCTGGGGCTGGGGATCAAACTGTCACCGAAGTGACTGCAGCTAGGTTACAGTGCTGCACTTTAACCCGCTGTGCCACCAGGGGGGGCCGGTAGTTTTTTAATTTTTAAAATCTTTTTGAATTTACAAGTGAACTTATCATTGGTCAGATTACCTGCATGAATGACTGAAAAGCTCTGGGTGGCCGTTTGAGAAAACCCCGAAGTCATCTTTGTGTCCTGTTTCTCTCTCCACGCAGGACTTACAGCTTCTGGAGGACGGAGATCTAACCTTGATAGGAGATCGGGGCACCACACTGAGTGGGGGGCAGAAAGCCCGAGTCAACCTTGCCAGGTAAATGGCCTGTCAGATGCCAACGTATGCGCTGTCACATGGCACTTAGCACTGGGCCCTGCTTCCTCAGAGGCCGAGCGGGTAGACCTGGCTTACTGTGCAGCATGGCGGGTGCACCTCACTTTCTCTGTGGGTGCTATAGGCATCTCACTTACTGCAAAGCTTTCTAGGTGAACCCCACTTAATGCAAGATGCTGCCAGTGGACTACGCTTACTGTGGGACACTGCAGGTGAACCTCACTTACTGCAGGATGCCGTGATCAGACCTCACAGAGCAACACTGTGGGTGATCCCACTTGTACAGGTGCTGCAGGAAGCACTTGTCTTGAGGGTACTCTTGGCTCTGGGCACAAGTGTGCCCCTGGCGTGGAAGGCTGTTGTGAGCCGTGGGGCCTGTGAGCTTCTGCTTGATGTGGCTCATTTTCTAGGGCGGTGTATCAGGATGCGGACATCTACCTCCTGGATGACCCCCTGAGCGCGGTCGATGCGGAGGTGGGCCGGCACCTGTTCGAACTGTGAGTTGGCTCATGTTTTTTTTTTTCCCCCTAAATTTATTTATTTATGTATATAGAACTGGGGTACAGGCCAGAGATGCTGGGGCAGCGAGAGGTTTCACCAGAGACAGAGTGGGGAGCAGAACAGGCAGATCGATGAAGCACTCTGCTGAGGAGGGCAGTGGGCCGGTCAGGAGAGGTCTGCTGTGCCATGTGGATCAGCTCCGGGGCAGGCGGCGATTGAACTCATGCTGAGGTGGCTTTAGCTCCTCAGTGCTGTGCTTTAACCTGCTGCACCACCAGGGAGGGCCCCGGCTCGTGTTTTATATCGTTCCTGCCTCCCAGGAATCGTCTAGATTTCAGGGCAAAGGAAGCTTTCATGGTTCTCTTGAGCTCTGGGATCCTTCGTTCCCGTCCCTTCCCTCGCTGAAGACCCACTGGAAAGGAGCCACAGTCGGGAGCTGGAGGAGGGGCTCACGATGTGGGTGGTTGCACGCCTGGGGGCTTAGGGAAGACACACATCCCCACTCCTCATGCTTGGTCCCTGAGGCTGTGCTTGCTGGCTGCGGGCCCCAGGGGCCAGATTGTAGTGTTTCTAAATTTGAGGTACCATCTTACATTACTGTGGAAAATTTAGGGCACAGCTCACTTCCTGATAAATGTATAGGCCAGACCCTTGCCACCAAGGCCTGACGACTGACGACTGACCACGATCCAACTGACCACGGCTTAGTTGCCTCAGTCGCTTCATGGCCACTAGCTGATCCTTCACGCTCGTGCGGTGACGTGTTAGGGGCAAAGCGTTCAGAAGCGACCCCAGCTCTGTGACAGGTGTGCGGGTGCACGGGGTGAGGTGTGGGTTTGGGGATGCTTCGTGATGTCTAGAGCTTAAGACTCAGTGTGGCTGCGATCAGTGAAGTTGCTTCCTGGGTCCCGCGAGTCTAGCAAACCCCGCTGTGGAGGGTTAACTCTAGCTTAAAGCCAGGCATCTGGAATCTGGCTTCTGCCCTGACTGCAGCTTTGGCTTTCTGGAGCGAGTTTACTCTGGCCCTTGCTCAGCCATGGACACGGGGTAGCTCTGCCGTCTTCTCAGCGAGTCATAGTGCACACCCTGCCGGACGCTGACAGGCATCTGGCTCTTGATGACGCACCGTCCTCCCCACCTACGGTCTTGCTGTCTTTCTCCTCTTAAAGGCCAGTGAGTACTCCGCTCTACATTTATCTGCTCTGGGGGATGTCATGGTGCACACGCCCAGGCCAGCCAAGGAGGACAGAGCCGGGCAGGGGCCATGCTGGTGCAGCGTACACTTCATTCTGCCCCTAAGGAATTTGTCTCTACATGGAATCTGTGCAGGCAAAGTCCTGGGAAAAGGCTCCATGCCTGGTGTGGAGACATCTGACAGAGACGCTGCGTGTGCTAGCTTGAAGTGGAAGAGGCAGTTCCAGACATCCAGTTTGGGCTGGAGAGCTCGTTGGGGCTGGGCTTCAGGCTGGGAGGGTATGTAGAGCCGGAGAACGGGGTTCCCCTCTGCTGTGGGCAGGAAAGCAGAAGCACAGGTGTAGGAAAGGCAGAAAGGCCTGTGGAGGAAGACCAGGTGCATTATTCCTGGTGCAGGACAAGTCACTAACGGACGGACAACTGCGGCCCTCAGGCTGGAGCACCCTCACTGGATGGTCTCCGCACAGTTGTGGGGCTGAGAAAGTCCACAGTTTGGGCAACTCGTGTGTGATGAGAAACTACTTTTCCTCTTGCTGGCAACTTGCTGTTTCCTCACAAGGCCGGCACAGCGAAGGGCCCCCTTTCAGAAGGGCACTGTCCCATCCATGAGGGTTCCCCTAGGGCCTCATCACCTGCCAGAGGCTTTACATGGGGTCACAATGGGGCTGTAGGCTCCAAAGTGTGAATTTAGGGGACACATCCAGTTTGCTCTGTTACAGATTGCCATGAAGTCACTGCCAATGAGGTGCTTAGGGAACAGAATTCGTCTCTGGAGGTGGGAGGCCCCGATGGGGGTTGAGTCTTTGATTTCTCCTCACGCCTCTCCTGGGCTCCCCTTGGCCTCATCTCGCCATGTCCTCACATGGTCTGTGCTCACCCACACCCCTCATCCTTATCCTCATCCCCTCCTCTTCTGGGGACACCACCGCAAACAGCTTTGTGTTAACTTGGTGACTGAGGTGCTGGGGATGGAGGCATCGTCGTGTGAATTGTGTGGTGTGGGGAGATTGTCCTTTCACAAAAGGTCCTCAAAGGCGAATGAAGGAGATTCGAGTGGTCAGAGTGGTGGACACAGAGGCCCTCTGGGCCTGTTCCAGGGGTCTTGCCTCTACTCAGTGTGGGGGGCTCGGTGGGTACCCTGCGTTTGTCCACCAGCACCTTCATGTGAAAAGTGCTTCAGGAGCAGTGAGGCCAAGCACCACATGGCCTTGCGAATGTGCTGTACCTTGTGCCAAAAATGGTGACGTTTTCTGTCAAGTATGTCTTAGCACCGTCACAGAAGTACAGAGACTCTGGATCTTTCCCAGGACAGACAGTGGGCCGGCTGATGCTTGGCTCAGCCCCCAGCTCAGGTCTGACCCCTGTCCCACCCCCTGGACAGGGACCTGAAGTGCCCTTCAGCAGAGACAGATTCCCGCCAATCCCCATCTGGGGTGCTGGAGTCCCCAGAAGCTCAGGCTCCAGGGTCCCCACTTCCCTACCTCACAACTTGCAATCTCTTGTCACCTCTCTCATAGGAATCTATCTTTCCCTTTAGCACAGCGTTGGTGGAGCATCGTGGGGGCGTCCCTGGGGAGGACTCGGCTCCACCTGCCAATCTTCTTGCACTTTATCACAGCAGCTGCTCTCTCAAGTTCTCCCCCCAACACGGGAGGTATTTATAAAGTCCTCTCGCACCTTTCAGGTTTAATGACTTTGGATATACACTTGATAGAAGCAAGCTTGTTAAAATTGTCGTTTGCTAATCAGAATCACATTCTTTGGGGGAACTTAAGGCAGGGAGCACGAAGGCAATTTAGGAAATCACTCAGCATAACTGGAGAATGTTCTCAACGAGTCAGAAAATTGGATTGAACAATACACCCTGAAAGATGGCGGAGGCGTCAGCGCTCGGTGTCGGGAAGCCTTTGTCTGAAAGGGGAGTGAATGGCCCTTTGCCTCGCCATGAAGTTTTCTCTGTCTCAAATCTGTCTCCAGGGTTATTGAGGTCCGTGAGCTGCATGGCTTTTATGGGGTACCTGAAGTGGATTCTATGATTCTCTGGGAGTGGCCCCTAATGTACAGGTGCCCCAGCAGCTGTTTCCAGCTGTGTATATCTGAGAAAACCCCGGCTGACCAGACACCCCTCCCACTGCACCTGTTCTGTGGGTCTGTCCTAACCTTCCCTCCCCTCAGTTAGTTCGCCCTTTTGCTCCTGGCCTCCCAGAGGCTCCTTCACACAGACTGTGGCTTCTCTCCTCCAGGGTCACTCGTGGTTGCTGAGTGGTGAACCCCTCACACCGTTTCTGCAGTGTGACACCGGGTGTTTGGGGTGTGCCCCAGATGGACTGAGCCCTTTCTCTGTCTGCCTTCTGTCCAAACAGGGCGATGGGCCTGGCAAAGGAGAGGAGAGAGGCCTCCCACCTTCTGCCTTTCTGGTCCCTCCAAGGCACTTCTGGGCTCCTGTGCTCTGCAGCCCTCAGTGGGGTGTCAAG